TGGTCCTGATAAGCTCCAGGATAACTGCGGAGCGACCAGTGACGATACCTGATCAAAAGATAGTAGCACCCAAATAGTTTCGATCATGTCATGAGCCTCTGATCGATCGCGGTAAGAGCTTACTGGATTGTTGACATTGAGGCAGCCTCATCGGCAGGAAACCCGTCTGATTCAAGTTGGTACACATCTTCAAGCTCGCTCAGTTGAACTGGTCGATAGGTTTCTGTATCTTCTGATTGGGTTTGCCCATCTTTGACAATATGAGATTCCGTTTGATGGTTATCGTTGCCAGATGAGTTGTCTGAGCCAACGGCTTGGGTGTCCATCCGCATTTATTGAGATCGATCCGCAGAGTGTTGCCGTCGAGATAGTGTGTCTCCTTGTGGTGGTGGTGGTTGTTGTTGAGCGTGGTGGGTGGTACAAACTCCTCATCCGAAGCAGCAAAACTGACTCGACAAGCCAGCAAAACCATGAGTACACCATCCCCACTCATCAGTTCACCAAAAGTGACTTGGCCAAGTTAACAAGGTACAGCAATCAGCATACAACCTCAAGTCCCACTCGATATCTTGCCCGAATTCAATCAGGTTTGATTTGTCTCTTTTGAGGGCAGTCCAAACTTTACAAATGCACATACGCCCCAAGTCTGAATATAGTAGAGCACCAACTTACCCAAGAAAAGATTCAATGGAGCCAAAGAATGTAAAGCCATGAGGGAAGCATGCTAGGGAAGAAACAGGGATCATTCACTGGCTCACTTCTGATCTATTTTAAGGTTTGGATTGCTTGTCATCCGGTATGGTGCAACATTTCTAGAGTACAAACAATTGAACATCTTCTTTGCACAATCCAATCAATTTAATGTCTTTGTGATAAATATCAAGAAATGAAGAGAATCGAGCTCGTTCTGAAGCGTCTGTATCGCTAGTCTTCAGCATCATGCACATAGACCCAGAAGATCAAGAGTGTAGACAGATTTAAATCCTGGCTTGATTCAAGCCGTTCTTTTGCGAGCGAGCGAGCTGAAGCTGAGTCAAGAAAGCGTACATGGACTGGATCCGAGCAAGTTTGACGCCAGCACGAGCGGCGATTCGGATTGGAAGTCCCAGGATGGCCTCGATCTCGAGCAGCCTACCGAGTTCCCAGTCGACCAACATTGACGGCTTGATCGTCGACTGTTCGCCTGCTCTCTCGGTCGACTCTAAGATCCGCTCGATGCTCGCGAATTTCGCAGGGAATCTCTCGATCATGAAGACTTTCTTCGCCGCCTCAAATATCTCTTCCATGCATCCCTCGAGATGTGAGCGCAGCTGCGGGCTCTTCACCATCTCTGATGAGGGTAGTCCGCCCGATAGGATTGAGGTCGGATTCATCGATGCACTGATGAGCTCCAAATTTTGATTTTCCATGTGATTAGTTAGGCTGGGCTACTACTATTTTGGCTATGGAAAGGGGGTTTTAAGGTGCGTACAAACAAGGCCTCTTAAAAAAGCAGCGAGGGAAGGTCTTTTACTCACTTGATGGCTAATTTATGCCAACGGAGGATTTGAAGATCCTTTTCACCATAAATTTCAGCATCATTAATTTGACCGTTTCGCAGGAATTCAACCAAAAGCTTTAACTGAGATTGTGAATGGGCTTCAAGTTGAGGATCGATTGGAGGATGGGGATGTTCCAGGTAAGATGAGAAATTGAGATAAGGGCCTATACTGATCCGAGTCCAGCGATTATGTCTGACCAAGCTGGGTTTGAGTTGTTCAGCATTGACGACGGTGACGGCGCTGAGGATGGGTACCTTGGGATGTCTCTGACGATGATTATCCTCGAAGCCTATGCCGTTCTGAATCAGCACTAGAGTTGGCGGAGGCCGGTCGTCGTGGTCGGCTACTGCGAGGAGGGGCGAGAGTAATGCTGAGTCGTCCACTCGGTCTGGCAAGACTTTCGTACAGAGGATCACGTAGTCCCACCTCCTCCCGGTTCCTGATCCTCCGAGTTCGGCGGCTTCGTCGATCGACTTGAATACTTGCTCAGGCCGGATCCTGTACCTCCCAAACGTTCTGCTTTCGATCTCCATGCCATTTGCCTTGACCTCTTCGTAGTTTGAACGACAGATAAACGAGACCTTGACGCCTTGCTCCGGCCGATGTAACCGAGATCCATAGAATGCTCCAACTGCGCCTGCTCCAACTACATATTTGTGTGGGTCAATCGACCAATCAGCTGTCGCCCGGATCGTTCTGTTCCATGAACACCGGCTCACCAATCAGGATGCGAATGTCCGGAGCCATGGGTCGCCGTCCGTCTACTCTGGATGAAAGTGGCAAAATCTCAAGTTGGTTCACCGGGACAAAGTCAACGATGCATGTTTCTAAAATATGATGGACCTGATTTGGTAAATACCGCAAATCAACTTCTCCACAGCGGGTATCACCGGGAGGTAACTATGTATCACCCTGCCCACCGGGTGCCGGAGAAGTCAAGGCGCTCCCAAAGTAAACCAATGTGTAGGAATTTTTGGCCACAAAATGGAGGACTTCCTGTCATAATCATGGACCCTCAACAGTCTTTGTTTTAGACCCAGAAAGTCTAGACCTTTCCAGGGAAATCTGAATTTTGAAGCTCTAAATCAATTCTGCAGGACCTGCCAATCAAGATGATACACACCAAAAATGTAAGGATGTCCTATCAAAAAATTGATGGACACTCACTACCCCCCACCAAATCTTTTTAAAAGAATTGTAAACACAGGAATTTTGCATTCCAGCACTTTCAGCTGATAAGAAAAAAGGGGGGCTCTGAAAGTTCTGCAATCTATTATAGCTTTGTAGAGGTGTAGCACCTCCAGTCAAGCTTCACATAGGTGGGGAATCAATATCAGATTTAGAGTATTTTTACCATTTTAAATTCGCAATCTTGTCAAACCCAGAAACAAAATCAATTCCCTCAACATTTTCAGTGACATCAAGTAGAAAGTTTCACTACTCTGATGTAGCATAAGTTTGACTGAAACTAAACTACCATGAAAAGAGTTGAACTGGATACATAGTATGATAGTTTGTACCATGATGCATGTAGCCTGATGTGAAATGTCATCCAAAAATTGTTTTTCCCTGGTGAATCAGTTTTACATCCTGAATTGCAAGCTGTTTGTTTCATCATTCAATCTTACACTTCTACTTCTTTGGTTTGAGACTTTTTTGTAGAAATGAGGGCCTAGAATTCCTCATAGCCACTGGGATTTCAGATATTGTGGTCAATCATGAATCCTAATTAGTCACATCATTACAACTTAGTAAGCTCTAGAACAAAAAAATTTATTCAGTACTCAACACAATGCAGCTGGGAATTTATCACATACAAGTTGGATTTTTATGGTTTTTCAAATGTAAGGCAACACAGGGGTTGTATGAGAGTATTGATTTGAACTTTGAACCACTTGAGATGGATAATTACTGTCCAAAAAGTGCCATGCAGTCAATCTCCATCAAAAAAGAACCCTTAGGGAATCATTTAAGCCATCAATTCTTCACCCCCACTGAAACAAGCATTTTTCAAAAATTGGATTTTGATCTGAATGAAGATCCTCTGGAAGCAAATAATCTGGCTCACTCAGTCTCCAATTTCTTTCCAAAAATCGATTCAAAAGATCCAAATGAAGAAACAGTTAGCTTACAACAGCCTCCTAAGAGCCCTAATGAAATTATAGATAGGTCATCAGAAGTTTCACATTCAGTTACATCAGTGGGAAGAGACTCCAGATATTCCCCAAAACAATCTTTGGAACTTAAAAGGAAAATTTCCACTCCTACATTCACTCCCAATTCATACCCAAAAATCAACCATTTAAGCTGTCCACGTCTAACTTCCCACATTCAAGAAAAAAATAAACAAATATCTACAATAAAACTTACTGCCATGTCTGTGCCATCATGTTCAGGCAAGGATCATGAGTTCAGTGAACAATCAAATCATTCAAATATGAACCATCATTTGTTAAATTCAATTGAAATTCATCCACACAGAAAGATGGGAATTTTATCTCCTTCAGCAAGAAATAATCACTTTTCAGCCCAGAAGTCAATTGATAACAAATCCAGGTCAGAGAGATTAAAGTTTGACAGAGATGCTTTCTTCTTTCCTTCCCCATCTTCAATCAGGAAAAGGAACCAAAAAAGGATCATGAGACTTATTGACTTACTTTCACAAGAAGGTGGAAGTTCTATTGATTTATTAGTAATGACAGAATCCCAATTTATTCGCCACTGTGGTATTTTTTCCTATGGTCAAAAAGCTTTCATAGAATCAAGTCTTGATGATACACATGGATGTCAGGAAAATACTGAGGTTCATCCTTTTTGCTCATCTAGAGATAAAATATGGGAAAATCAGAAATCTTGGTATTCATATTGGCTAAGAAAGTCAAATTTCAAACATGGAGGATTGGTTGAAGCAATTAAAAGTTTCAAGTCAATTCAGATAAGGAAAGCAATCATCTTATACTTGTTTTATGTTGAAATGATCAGTACAGTTATTCCCATATCACAGAGGAAAGAGAGTGATGGTTCTGAGCTAGAAGAAGCATTGAAACTTTTGAAATTGATGTCTGAGCCAGTGACAACAAACAGGCCAGAATATCAGAGAAACCTATCTGAGAAGTGGGAGTTGTTCCAATTGAAGATTTCAAACCAGGGGACCGCAAATAACATAACAGCTATATGGATATTGTTGGAGGTCTGGATGGAAAACTTTAGGAAAGGTTTATTGGATAAACAAAGAAACAAAAATAACAGACTCAAGCAGATTTTCAAGAGCTTCTTCAATAATATATTCTACCACTCAATCAGCAGGCTCACTGATAGGATTCAGCAATCCTAGTGGTGAATTGATTGATAGAAATTGTTCAAAAAAGAGTAAATCCTATACTTCTAGTGAAGTTCATTCATAAAGAAACAGAATTCAGTCCAATCAATTTACACATCAAGATTTTCCCTATGATTGTCATGTGAAAATGATTTGTTTTTGTGTTGTGTCTACCTCAATTTCAATTTCACTTCTATAAAATTTTTGTTTTAAAAAAGTTGACTGTTTTGTGGCTTGTAAGTTAATTTTATATCTTTTGAAAATAGAACATCAAGGTTTACCACATCCACAATCAGTGAAGACCACAAAAATAAAGCATTTTTGTGTTACAATTGAGTATCAAAGGGTATGCTTGAGAACTAAATTTTACAATGTTTTCCAGGAAATCTTCCACTTTGGCCTTTTCAATTGATTTCTGATTTATTATAAAATCATTGTTCTTCAAACAGGGCATTTTTTGCACATTAACTTTGCATTGAGCCTTGGTCCAACTAAACTTTGAGTCAAGTTTTAGTGAAAGTAAAGGCTTGCTCATGATTTACAGACTTCAACTGGTGGCAGTTTCTTGAGTTTTCTTTTGTACTAGTGGATTGAGATGTTGCAATTGCATCTTGAACACCCTATATCTTGACAGGAAGACTTCAGCTAGAATAGTAGATTAGATCAAGAGGAAGTGAGGGTTTGATTTTTTAAATGGTAGTAACTCAATGATCAGTAAGAAAAACTTGCTTGATACATGTAATGGAATTAATTGATCATGTAAGCCACTAAAACAACTCCTTGAGTGAGGTTTATTTGACAAGTCTTGCACTCCGGTGGCCGCAGGCTGTAAGATTGGTTGGACCCAAGTTTGTCTGACAACTGCTTGAAGTTGAACTCAGATCTCCCAGGACTCAAGGTTTTTAACTTTTTAGTGATACAATTCCCTCACAAAAAGATGATCATCTGCAATTATTTTGAGCTTAACACAAGTCCCCTGGTGGGAGGCTTGCTGGTGTGACTGGCTGGGCGCAAAGTGCCCCCTCCCGCAGGGAGGGACTTAAACACTTTCCCAGTGTGAGGCAGAAACACGGGCTTGGTGGTGGCAACCTTGTTTGCCCCACCACTCATTCATTTCAACTCAAATTTATTTTTGGTTTATGTGGATGAAAGATCTACATAATCCGGATTTTTGTATATTTTTTCATTGCAAAAACCAGTTTGGTTCTGGTAGAAAAGATGCAATGAAGTTGATGATTTTGAACTTGAATTTGAAAATTTGGCAGAGAGGCTCGAGCGCACTCTCAGTAGCGGGGTTCACGATAGCGTTTTTCGCTTCTCGCACCCGTAATTTTTTTTTCTTGCTCGCGCATTGCTGATGTCAATTTTCCCAGCAAAAATTTTAAGTTCTGCGCTAAATTTTAAGCCTGCAGCAGTGCTGCGGTTTCTCGCGCGAGAAGAAATCACTTCTTGCGAGAAGCTATCGTGAACCCCGCTAGTATAAGCATATTTTATGCCTGCAAAATGAGAATCTGTCTTTTTTCTGCTTGCTCTTTTAAAAAATATTGATATGGAAATAAAAATGTGAAAAAAATACAGAAAGACCAAGAAGATGTCATAGAACAAGAAAAAAAAGCACAATCAAATTTTGAGAAGAATAACATCAAGACACAGGGGAAAATGCAAAAAAGGACCTCAAAATTGCGCCTTCCTCACGCAAGCTTTGAGTAATAGTATGGAAGCCTCTCTGACGAGACTGGGCAGCCGCCCAGACCTGCCCGCACACGACTCTCGTCATGAGAGGATTAGTTAAGCTCGGGATTATTTGAGGAAAACTGAGCAACTCATTATGGTTCAAAACTTCAGCAGGAACCCCGTGGCTGCCAATCGGGCAGCGGGTGAGGGGTTTCAGCGCATTCGAGGCTATCCGCGCGACATGCTATGCAATTTGGTGTGCGAAACAGGGGGGCTGTGTCGGCCAGTATTCAATATGCGCCTCCTATAAATCCCTCGTGCGTTCCTTCCGCTCCCTTGCCAGCCAAACAACTACTGAAACTCCCAGTCATCTCATCAAACCATATCACATACGAACAGTTACCACAACACTCTCATCAACTTCATTCAGCCCAGCACAGAATAATGCCTGTGAGTCTGTTCTACTCTTCTCGAATTGAACGTAAACTGCAACTGAATATTGAATCACCTTCCTCGTTTAGCGTCGTTCAAGTAGCAGCAGCGGTGGCAGCCGCACCTCAACTCGGTCTGCCTCCACATCCACTCATCAACCTGTTCAAGCTCGCCCCCCAGCACCGCCTGCCGCCCAACAGTCATCTGTTCCTGCCATGCAACAACCAACCTCATCCGGTCCCGGGTTATTTGGTCAAGTGAGTCCTTTGTGCACCTTTTTGCAAAGGTACGTCATGTATCAGACATCTGATAACTTGCTTTTCTGCAGATGGCATCCACCGCTGCCGGTGTCGCTGTAGGTCACACCATGGGTCAAGGTCTTTCCAGCATGTTGTTCGGCGGGGGCTCCAAGGAAGAGGCGCCGGTCACCGCCGCCCAGACCAAACCATTCGATGAACCTCAAATGGGAGGCCAGTGCGAAACAGCTGCCAAGGGTAAGCCCATCCCACTCTCCTGGTGATGGACGATCCTCTTTATCCTGATCTTTTATCCTTTTACGCCCAATTATCAGATTTCACTCGATGTCTTGAAAGCACTAAGAACGACATGAACAGCTGCAGTTATTACCTCGAGCAGCTCAAGGCCTGTCAAAACATGTTCCAACAAACTCGTTAAAACCCGACGAAACCTCTCTAGCCCTCTCATTGCGCATAGCTTGATTAAATCCCCAAACCCAGATATCGTCGTGGCATTCTATTGGTAGATAGAAAATTTCATTGTTTAGCGGCACTGCACAATGATTCTGTCAAGCCATGTGTCATTTACTTTTTACATCGTGGAAAACGATACATGAATCAATTCAAAATCTGTCCACTATGTCGCTTGTCCCTTTTCTCTTCAATCTTGTTGGTTGGAGTATTGTCTCCACAGGCAATTTTAGCCAAAGGATTAAATGAGTCAAATTTAACATGTCTTGATCACAGCCACTACCGCATGTCCCGTCCACCAGCTCAAGGTTGGGGGTAGCATACTCGGCCGTGTTGTGCCGATTTCAATAAACCCCACCTAGCAAGATCCCTTCAGGATTGCTCAATCTGTCTCACCACATTGAAAAGAGCTGCCTCAAATTATATTTTCTGTTGCGTAGTTGCTCTCACACTAAGCGCAAAACCCAACCAACTGAATATAAAGATCTTCCCATCCAGCTGTGCCCTCATAGGGGTTTGACTGAGTGCAACTGTTGGGGATGGATCAGGGTCGTCAAATAAAAAAAATGTGAAGAATTTGCCCCGTGCAGCGTGCTGGCTTGGTTTGACAAACAAGGTGTTCTCCTGACATGGCCCAATTCATTGAAATTTGCTTAATTAATGTGGACCTCAAGTGTCTGCAGGCAAATACTCGGTCCCCCGTCTGTATTAGCAGCTTGAGTTGACCCTGCCCAGTGATTCTAGCCAAGGTGTTGGGCAGTAAAGATGTAGGATAGATAGCCAAGAGGTGGTGGTGGTGGTGGGTACTGAAATGTCTAATACCAATCAATTTTTCCACAAATGTTGACTATGTAACTTGCATCCCACTACTTTTAGACTACCTAATGCACATTGGATTTTTGGATATTTGGCTTCATATCTCATGTGATACAGGTTCATTGCTTGAAACGATCCAAGGAGGATCTTGCTCTATTTGGACTGAGAGAAGACAAGTCTGTCCCTGTACTTTGTTTTTTTGTTTTGAAAATGTGATCCGTCTCTGCACAAATTCGAGGGGCAAGCAGACCAGTTGATGGATTACTTGCGAAATTGCTTTCATTTCGTTGGACGAATCGGTCAGTTTGATTCTTGGCTGTTCAGGAATTAGCATTCCAAGCTGTCCAAGTACATGTCCAAGAAAAAAAGGACTGAATTGAGTGCGGAGCTTCCTGGCTTCTCGAATAATTTCTTTTTGATCAACACGAGTGGAGATTCCTTGAGGGAAAGCCTTGGCACTGAGATAATCAATCCTCTGAATCATTTCATGAAATGTCTGAGGTATATTTGGGCTTTGCAAGAGTTGATCAACTTCATCTTTTTCAGATCCACTATATTTTTGCAAGTAACTGGTCCTTATTTCAAAAAGTGTGGCAATCAATCCAAAAATGCAAACCTCTGGAAATTTGCAATGCATTCAGATTTTGTATGTGTTTGATCAATCTTTCTGAATGAAAACAAATCTGTTCAATGGCTTACCTTCAATGATGAAGACATTCTGGGCAAGTTTAGGAACTTCTTCTGGCAGATCCAGAGTAGTGAAAACTTCACTATAGTTTTCAATAAAATAGTCCAGAATATCATTTGCATTCCAGAGTAGGAATGCACCTACATCGTTCCAGATATTGCTTCTATCTTGATGAACTGGAGTTTCTTTGCAACTGGCCAACAGCTTTTGGGAGAAGAGACAACCAATGGAGGGGATCATTAAATTTGTTGCCATGTGAATCTAATTTTATAGCAGCTTACTCAATCTACTTACTTTTTCAGTGTGAACCCCCTTACTTAAATTTGTGCCATAAAGTGTATCTTCCTCCATTTGACTTAAGGAGGTTGAGGATATGCAAAGGGCCAATCTTGGTGATAATGGAAATGGAAAGAAAACCAGCAAGATGAGTTGACATAAGTTCATTTTTACTGGATGTGCTGGCAGGTTTTCCAAAAAAACTTCATGTGTTTTGTTTTTTCAATGGCACCTTGAAAATCATTTCTTCTTCAAAGTGATTATTCTTTAATATTATGGTTAAATTGGATTGTTGTAGAAATTTGTTTCAATTAATGTTGGGGCAATTTCAGAGGGAAACATGTTTGAACCACAAGTACTGAGCTTGAATCAGGCCTCTAACCAAAAATAAAGATATTTCTGTATTGATGTCACAGAAACTTAAAGAGATGTTTTAAAAAATGATCAAATATCATGTTTCCTGTGCAAATCAAAGACTTGTCTCCTAAGACAATACCAAGTATATCAAGCACTTTACAAATTAGACCTGGGCATGATTGCATGCTACAGGGTCAATTTTTTCTACTGGTGGATTATTTACCCTTAATGGTGGTTTAAACATATGCTCAACAGGCAAGATGAATTAAGAAACCATTCTATGGGTGTTGGCACCCAGTATACACCCAGCCAATTTTCAATGACAATTTGTAAAAATGGCTGGGCGGGCGACTGTGTACACTGGTTGCTAGATGTGTACCAAAAAACACAAAACAGTAGCTAATGATAAAGCCTTATAAAGATGGCCTTGCGGTACCCGTTGGGCGGTACCCAGGACCCGTTGGCGGGTACCGCCTTCACTCCTCCGGTACCTGGCAACAGGCCCCGGGTGCGGTACTTGGTGTCTGTTTTTGGCCAAAATCAGACCCAGTACCCGGGTACCCTCCCGGTGTGGTGAGATTGATCAAACCCATAGCCATAATTAAAAACACTGTATTACATATAAATAGTAGTTAAAATATTAGAGAAAGAGGGGTAGAATAGGAAAGAAACCACATAAATATTACTGGGCTAAATTGTAGTTTAATTAACTCACAAACTAGGCCTAAGATATTTAATTTCTCATGGATAAAAATTATACAAATAAACTGTAGAACTATATTTCATCCAGCTTAGACTGATAAATCAAGCTACTAATCAGAAAGTGCTTCACAGACTAGATCTAGAAAATAACTCTTATACTAGTTAGTCCTAGAATACCCATCTCATAGTAATTAATCTAAGAATAGGCATCTTATAGAAGAATTACAACCTCTTGTATTAGAAGGGCACTTAGAGATTAATTCATATCAGATTAGCCCATCTCAGAGTAGTAAAATCCACTCTAGAAGTACCCTTCTCAGATGCACTAGTTGTTCAGGCCAAAATCTCATGTACAGCAGAACTATTTGTCTATAAATAGAGGCTCTTCTGGCCCAGGTTTTCCTCATCCCTCCTACAGTGTTTGCACCAGAGAAGTAATTAGAGATATTACTTAGCCACTCATCAAAACCAGATGCTAGCTTACAGAACCAGTAATCAGCCGCTATTACTCCAGCTTTCATCACCCTTGATTAAGAGATCCAGAGATTATTAGAGCCCTGAACTTTCCTTACCTCAACTTTGGCCATAGACAAGTAATTCAGAAATATTGCTTAGCCATTCTTACCTCTTTGAAAGATTTAGAGAAATCAGCGTACCTTTTACAGCGGTGGGCCGCTACGCTACGCTACGCTACGCTACGCTTTTGGCCCAAAAAGCGTAGCGTAGCGGCGCTTTTTTTCATCCAAAAGCGGTAGTGTTAGCGTTTTTGTAGCGGTTTTTCGCTACGCTACGCTGCGCTACAGCGCTTTTAGCGGAAAAAGCGGCCAAAAACCGCTAAAAAGCGCTGTAGCGCAGCGTAGTGGGCCCTTTTTTGCGGCCCACACGCGTAGCGTTAGCGGTGTCGTGGCGGAATCCCGCTACGCTACGCTAAAGTTGCGTGGAATTCCGCTACGTTACGCTGCGCTAACCGCTACGGTTAGCGTAGCTGGCCCAGCGTTGCCTTTTATCAGAGCCCAGAGAAACCAGAGAGACTTATAAGATCAGAGAACCAGAGAGAATTAATAACAGATTTAACAGAGAAACCCTACAGAAACCCCATAAAACTCCTTACCTCCTCAACAGGTATTCTCAAGCAACAACAACAGTAGTATCAACACTAAGATAAATTTAGAAATAAGTCACACTCTTATTTTTCTTAGTGTAACTTTCCCGCAAGCTAGACAGGAGGGCAGTCTCACCCACACACCAATACTAATTCTACTATTTCATAGTCTTATTAGCTATTTTATCCCCTCTAAGCTCTTTACTCACTTGCTGAGCAGTTCCACACCGGGTACCGCCTCAAGCCACCTGTATTAAGCCACCCAATGAACAGGTACCCATCCAGTCCCAGGGCATAGGGTCGGATATCAGTGGTACCAGGCACCAACTGTATCCAACCCGCACACCACCACCCACCCCAGGTCGACCAAGCTACACCAACCCACCATGCCACCCCGCACACAATTAAAAACCCATGCCACACACAATCAGGATCGACCATTGGACACACCTTCTCCTCCGGATCAACCGCACGACGATAACGATAAGGACGTTGGCCGTAATTCGTCTGAAGAGCCAAGCTCTCCCCGCCAATCCAACCATCCGTTGACCGATGCAGAGGAGTTAGGTGAGTCTTTCCTTCTTCATTGATCAACCTCGCTCTCTCTCTCACTTTCTGCCACCTCGCTCAATCATCTTCCGCTTTGCTTGCTTGCTCGCTTCCTACTCCCTTTTGCTCCGTTGCATTCCACTCCCTCTCCCTCTCGCTACCTTCCTCGCTACTTCTATTACTTCTTTTTCAGATCGTGCTCAGAATGTCGCCGCCAACGCTGTCAGCTCTAGCTACAATAACTACCACGTACCAGAGCTCTCCGATCAAAAGGACAAGTCTGGAAGGTTCATGATTGCTTACCATTGTAAAATGTAAGTTTTCTCTTCCAATCATATGAACTCATTACTTTTTGCTGACATCATGATATCTTTCTTCTTTTGCATGCACATAGGTGTTCTACCAAGATCAACCGGCCTATGTCTGACTCCTCCTGTGGTAACCTGAACAAGCACGCTGCCCTCTGCCTCCGCAAACAACAAGAGGCATCCAACAGCGGTGGGCCGCTACGCTACGCTACGCTTTTGGCCCAAAAAGCGTAGCGTAGCGGCGCTTTTTTTTTCACCAAAAACCGTAGTGTTAGCGGTTTTTTAGCGGTTTTTCGCTACGCTACGCTGCGCTACAGCGCTTTTAGCGGAAAAAACGGCCAAAAACCGCTAAAAACGGCTGTAGCGCAGCGTAGTGGGCCCTTTTTTGTGGCCCACACGCGTAGCGTTAGCGGTGTCGTGGCGGAATTCCGCTACGCTACGCTAATCGCTAACAGCGATTCCGCTGCGTTACGCTACACTAACCGCTACGGTTAGTGTAGCGCCCCACCGTTGCATCCAAGACACGCACTCTGGCCAGT